GTTTTTGGTAATTTTCTTCTATTTTGTCCAGGGGCAGATTTATTAAAGTTAACTAGAGATGATGTGATCCAAATCTGTGGCCCTGCAGATGGAATCAGACTTTTTAATGCACTGAAAGGCCGGTATGTAATTTCTGTTAAAATATTGTTGAGGTTAGGTTGCCAATGAATTTAGATGCAGGGATTTTTCAAAATCATCTACATAGCTAAATTTTTATGCGATTTCAAAACATTAAAAAAAATACCAAAAACAATTCCAGCTGTGGGCCATTGAGATATGGTTCTGTGGGTAAAGGCACTTGCCACCAAGCCTGACAACTTGAATTCAGTCCCCAGGACCCACATGGTAGATGGAGAGAACTGACTCCCAAAAGTTGTCTTCTGATCTCAGTGTGTCATACACATGCCCCCCAACATATAATGAATAAATATTAAAAAAAAATCTAGCCTGAGTCCATAAATAGTCTTAATTTACCATACCGTTTTGTGCTTAAACTCCTCATTAATTGTTGTGCTGTACTCTTCTTGAAACGATACTGTTGTTTGGAGATATATTTCTCTTTGTCCATCTGTCTGTCTGTCTCTTTTCTCTCTCCCCTCCCTCCTGTCTCTCCCCCATCTCCTTCCCTCCCTCTCTTCCAAGTGTTAGGAATGGAATCCAGAGCCTTGAGCATGTTAGGCAAGCAGTCTATTACTGAGGCCCAGCCCTAAAGCGAGAATTTAAAAGTTTAAATGATGCCTTCTTTAGGAATGAATTCAGTTTAAGCAAACAGCAAAACTTACCACTGCGAGCTAATGCAACATAGAAATGAATTTCATTTGACTCAAGAGTTGTTATTTCTCAGCTGCTGCTCTATACTAATGATATAGAACACAAGTTCTCCCTTTAGATATGCTTACCATGGGGGCGGGGGTGTAAGGCTAACAGCAGCCCTTTTCTTCCCCACGTAGGATGGTGCGTCCAAGGTTAACCATTTATGTCTGTCAGGAATCCTTGCAGTTGAGGGAGCAGCAGCAGCAACAGCAACCACAACAGAAGCAGGAGGATGGAGATTCAAATGGTTCTTTCTTTGGTAGGTTGTTCTGGGCATTCTAGGAGAGAAAGGAAGGAAGGTGAGGAGGTGAAGAGCAAGTGTGATGGGAATTTAGGCTAGTTTAGCATTTGCTAGAAGTACTAGACGTAATGGCAATTGCTTACATTTACTGACCTTTCAGTATACGCCAGCACATTTTTTTTTTGGTCTTTTTGAGACAAGGTCTCCCTGTAGCCTCAGCTGGCCTGGAACTCAACTATGTAGACCAGGCTGGCCTTGAACTCACAGAGATCCACCTGTCTCTGCCTCCCAAGTGCTACAGGCGTGCATCACCACGCTTTTTATATGTTTGAATTCTTAAAACTAATAATGTCCTCAATGTAGTAGATTTTCTTGTTATCTCCAGTGTTTAGATGAGGAAAACAAAGACTAAGGTTGTGAACTAACTTTCCCTAGGTCACAAGGAAAAAAAGAAGTTGAAGCAGAATCTGAAGCCAGGCAGTGTGATTTTGACTTGACTGAGTAGATGACCTGCGCTGACTGCTGTCACTCTCTTTTACAGTGTACCATGCTATCTACCTTGAAGAACTGACAACCGTTGAATTAACAGAAAAAATTGCTCAGCTTTTCAGCATTTCTCCTCGTCAGATCAGCCAGATTTACAAGCAGGGGCCAACAGGAATCCATGTGCTCATCAGTGACGAGGTCAGTCTCTCAGTGCAGTTGAACTACCAGATTATAATTAATTGATTAGGGCATGTCACAAGAACAAGAGTAATTCTAAAGGGTAGAGCTCTGTTTTCTCAACCAGAGGTTAATTTTTGTATTTTAATCCTAATTCTTGGGCCAGGCATAGTGGCGCACACCTTGAATCTCAGCGCTCTGGAGGCAGAGGCTTGCAGATCTCTGCAAGTTCCAGGCCAGCTAGGGCTACATAGTTAGACCGAATCTCAAAAACCCAAAACCAACCAAACCGAATCTAATTATTTTGGAAAATTTTTAGGAGATATGGTCTTGCTATTTTGACCTGATTGACCCTGAACTTGTAGGCTTATGTGGGCCTCTTGCCTGAACCTCCTTGAGTAGCTAGAATTGTTGATATATACCACTGTCCCTGGCTTAGATTTTATTGTTTGCTTACCTTCTAAATTGATGTTTTAAAATTATGTAGAAGCTGGATAGGGAAAGGGGTAGAGACAGGAGGATTACTGGGTCTTGTTGTCTCCCAACCTAATTGAGTGGGTATGGAATAGGGAGTGAGCTCCAGGTTCAGTGAGAGATTCAGCTTTGACAAGAAATACCGTAGAGCGTGATAAAGGAGGACCCCCGATGCTTGCCTTTGGCTTCTGTGCATGTGCCTGCACCCCTGCACATATGTGAGTATAACACACACACACACACACACACACACACACACAGACAAACACACACACATACCAAAAAAACCCACCACAAATGAGCAAATGCCTATATGAATACCCTTGTACATTTTTAGGTCAACTCGAATTTGTTTTATGTTTAAGTTGTAAATAATGTCATACCTGGACATATACATAACATTTAAAAATGAAATGGTAGCTAGGGAGATGACGCAGTTTGTAAAGGACTTGCTGGGTAAGTGTGAGGACCTGAGTTAGGATCCCCAGCACCCGTGTAAAAACCAAGCATGACAGTATGGGCCTATAATCCTAGCATTGAGGAGGCAGAAACCAGGGGAATGCTGGGGATTGTTGACCAGCCTGTCAAGCCAAGTGATGAGGTCCATGTTCAATGAGAGACCCTGTTTCAAAAAAATAACGTGATATAATTAGCCATTAAAAAGCATGTATCTGTGTGTGTGTGTGTGCGCGCGCGCGCATGCATGTAAAAGCCAGAGATTGAAGTTTGATGTCTTTCTAAATTCTTCTCTACCTTATTTTATTTATTTATTTATTTATTTATTTATTTATTTATTTATTTATTTATTTATTTATTTATTTATTGGTTTTTTTGAGACAGAGTCTCCTTGTAGCCCCAACTGGCCTAGAAGTTGCTACGTAGGCCAGGTTGGCCTTGAACTCAAAAAGATCCGCCTGCTTCTGCCTCCCAAGTGCTGGGATTGAAGGTTTGTGCCACTACACCTGGCTCTACTAGACAGGGTCTTTCACCTGAAGCTTACCAATTCCACTAGGCTGGCTGGCCAGCAAACTCCAGAGATTGGCCTGTCTTCAGCTCTCTAGTTGGGATTTCAGGCCTATGCCACTGTGCCCCGCTTTTTTTTTTTTTTTTTTTTTTTTTCTTTCCAGTTTATCAAAATTATTGCTATTTTATTGAGCTTTTAAAATTTCATACAATATTTCCCACTCACATCCATACCCCTCCTCTATCCATGTTCACCCCCCAACCCTATGCACTCTGCCACACATGCTGAGTCCTAGTCATTCAGGTGTTTGTACTCAAGTGTCCTTCAGTGGAAATGCGTCCACTGGAGTCTAGTCAGTCCATCCAGCGGTCGTATGTAAGTCATACTCTCCCTCACCCAACAACAACCAGTCTCAAATAGTTCTCGATCTAGTGCTGACCCGCCACCTATTTCTCACCTCCCCTTTGAGCCTTTGTTTAATTGACCTGACATAGGTCCCATGTTAGATGCCACTGCCGCTGCAGGTGCACATGAGCAAGCCCCCATTGGTCTAGAAGCCTCCACCTCATATGTTCATGAACCAGTCCTGGCTCTTACAATATTTCTGCCTCCTCTTTCACAATGGTCCCTGAGACATGGGTGGGTGAGGTTCCATATAGGAGTTCCTTCCTATACTCTACAATTTCTTATTCTCTAAAACTTGGTCAGTTGAGGCCTTCTGTGTGTAACGCACTCTGCTGTACATGGAAGCCTCACTGGTGAGAGTTGAGGGGTGCATTGGCCCTCGGTCTACCCCTTATTCCACTATGTTCCGTGAGCCTTGGTTGTAGAGATTTGACTGCAGATGTGTCATCTAATAATACTGGGCATCTCCCAGGTGTATGTTCTCTGCGCCTGACCAGATGTGCAGCTCTGCAGTAGCCTCCGTCTGTTGCAAAAAGAAGCTTCTTTGATGACTGCTGTATGGCATGTTTGTCACTCTAAGGGAGGTCTCTTCTGCCTTTCACTGTGTTCCCTTCCAAGCAGCTCCCAGGTTTACATTGCATTAATGTTCAGTCACTGTATGTGCATTTCTCATAGGGTTTCCAGTGCATTGCTTTTCCCTCTAGGTTTCCTACACCTCCCCATATTCACTCATCTCTACTCTAGTTTTCTCCCACCTGGCCTCCCTCCTCCCTGCCTTCCTAGTCACAGTGCCCACATTATTCCCACCCTCCCCTCAATAACTCCCAATTCCTGCCATCTTTCTGTTCCCGACTTCCCTCGTTCCCCCACACCACAGTCCCTTGCATGTCCCTCCCTCTTCTCTTCCCTGCCAATTACAATTTTTCTACCTTCCTCAGGTAGCATCTGTTCCCTACTATCTCCCTTTCAGGTTATCTCTTTTCCTTTACCTCCATGTACCCTTTGCCTTTACCTGGCTCCTGGTGTTACTTCAGAATTTATATACTCACATATAAGGGATTGGTGCTACAATCCACAAATGAGGGAGAACATATGTCGCTTTTCTGTATTTGTGTTACTTCACTTAGTATAACACTCTCTAGCTCCATCCATTTACCTGCAAGTTTCATAATTTTATCTTTTCTTACTGCTGAGTAGAACTCTTTGTTTAGGTCTATCGCCCATCTTTTTATTGGGTCATTTATCTTATTTATTTTTTGAGTTCTTTGTATATTCTGGATAGTAATCCTCTGTAGGATGTGTATCTGGTGAAGATTTTCTCCCACTCAGTGGGTTTCCTCTTCCCTTCCTTAGTTGTTTCTTTTGCTGTACAGAAACTTTGTAATTTAATGAGGTCCTGTGCAGTCCCATGTGGTCCCATTTAGTGATTGTTGACCTTAGTGCCTGAGCAGCTGGTGTCTGGTTTAGAAAGTCCTTTCCTATACCTACATCTTGAAGGGTGCTGCCTATGTTGTCTTCTAGCAGTTTCTGAGTTTCAGGTTTTATATTGAGGTCTTTGATTCATTTGGAGTTGACTTTTGTGCAGGGTGAAAGATAAGGATCTAACTTCGTTCTTCTGCAGGTGGAGATCCAGTTTTGCCAGCACCACTTGTTGAAGATGCTGTCTTTCCTCCTATGTGTGTTCTTAGCACCTTTGTTGAATATCAGGTAGCCGAAATTATATGAACTCACTTTGGGTCTTCTATTGTGTTCTACTGATCTACGTCTCTATTTTTGTGCCAGTACCATGCTGTGTTTTGACTATAGTTCTGTAATATAATATGAGATCTGGTATGGTGATCCTACCCAGCATTGTTCTTTTTACCCAAGATTGTTTTGGCTATCCGAGGTCTTTTGTGATTCCATGTGAAGTTTAGGATTATTTTGTCAAGCTCTGTGAAGAATGCCATGGGTATTTTGATTGGGATTGCATTGAATCTATAAATTGCTTTTGGTAAGAGGTTCATTTTCACAATGTTGATTCTACCAATCCATGAGCATGGTAGGTCTTTCCATCTCCTGGTGTCTTCCTGTATTTCTTTCTTTAGAGTTTTGATTTTGTAAGTTGATTTTGTATCCTGCCACTTTACTGAAAGCATTTATCAATTCTAACAGTTTTCTAGTGGAGATTTTGGGATCTCGTATCTTTAATATCGTATCATCTGCAAATAGGGATAATTTGACCTATTCTTTTCTAGTTGGTACTCCTTTAATTTCCTTCTCCTGTCTTATTGCTCTAGCAAGGGTTTGAAGTACTATATTGAAAAGGAGTGGAGATAGTGCACAGCCCTGTCTAGTTCCTGATTTTAATGGGAATGCTTCCAGTTTTCCTCCATTTAGGATGGAGGCTCTGGAGGTTTCCATCCATTTAGGATGATGTTGGCTATGGATTTGTTGTATACAGTTTTAATTATGTTGAGGTATGTTCTCTCCAGACCAACTCCTTCTAGGATTTTTAACATGAATGCATGTTGGATTTTGGCAAAGGCCTCCTCTGCATCAGTTGAGCTGACCATGTGGTTCTTGTCTTTGAGCCCATTTATATGATTTATGATGTTTATTGACTTACGTATATCGAACCATCCCTCCATCTCTGGGATAAAGCCGACTTTATCATGGTGGATGATCTTTTAGATGTGTGTCTGTATGCGGTTTGCAAGTATCTTGTTGAGTATCTTTGCATCTGTACTGGGTCTATAGTTTTCTTTTTGTTGTATCTTTACCTGGTTTTGGTATTAGAGTGATGCTGACTTCATGAAAGGAGTTTGGGAGCTCTCCCCTGTTTCTATGTTTTTGAATAATTTAAGCAGTATTGGTTGTAGATTTTCTTTGAATGTCTTGGTAGAATTCTGCTGTGAGTCCATCTGGGCCTGGGCTTTTTTAGTTGGGAAGTTTTGTATTACTCTTTCAGTTTCCTTATTTGTTATGAGTCTGTTTAGGCTGTTGCTTGCCTCTTGGTTTAACTTTGGTAGTGGCCATAATTTTAGGAATTCACCCATTTCTTTTAGGTTTTCAAATTTAATGGAGTATACATTTTTAAAGTATTCCCTTACAATGTTTTGGATTTTTGGGGGGTGTCATGATATTTCCCCTTTTAGCTCTGATTTTGTTAATTGGGATTTGCTCTTTCTTTCTTTTG